TTAGGGTAGAAGGGGAAGATACAAAGCAAGTGTAACAAAACATAAAATCAGGTGGTGAATTTCTGGAATTAAAAATGTATTCGTATTGGTGAAGGCTCTCAGCCTAGGAGGAGCAGCAGAGGTCACTTGGTCTGTTCAGCCTGGAGGAGACTGAGGTGAGATCTCACTGCAGCTACAACTTCCCAGTGAGGGGAAGAGGAGGGGCAGGCATCTCTGCTCCATGGTGACAGTGACAGGACCCAAGGGAATGGCCTGAAGTTGTGTCAGGGGATGTTTAGGGTGGACATTGGGAAAAGGTTCTTCACCCAGAGGGTGGCTGGGCACTGAACAGGCTCCCCAGGGCAGCGGTCACAGCACCAGCCTGACAGAGCTCAGTTTGGACAGTGCTCTCAAGCACAGGGTGTGACTTGTGGGGTGTCCTGTGCAGAGCCAGGAGTGGGACTTTGATGATCCTTCAGTCCCTTGTAACTCAAGATATTGATATCATTCTATGACTTTGGAATGTTTTCTGGATGATTCTGACAGGCCTGAGTGGTTTGGGAAGCAGCCACATAGTGCAAGTGCACAGGTGCAGTGTGGAGCCATCACTGACACAAACATATAGGTGAGCAACTTACCACCAGTCTACTCCCACCCCTCAAATTAGTGTCTTCTCCAGCAGACACGTCTCTTAGCACCAAAAATATCAGACTGCCCCTCATGTCCCTCAGGACCTGGTTCCAGAGGAGCAGGCCAGGAAACCTTGCCATTTTTGGCAGGTTGCAGTAGCAGTGGGGGTGTCATATTTGCCTGGCCATGCTCATGGTCCTGACCCCAGTGCCCCAGTACTGTGTCAACAGCCTTTGTCATCGAAGAGTTGCCCCTTTCCCCTGGCTCCTGGTGAACCCTCAGCACCAGGGAGCCTTGTTTGAGGGTTACAGGTGTGCTACATCAGCAGCAGGAGTCCCCTGTCCCTCACTCCCAACCATCCAGGGGTCTGATCAGAGGTTCAGTGTGGAGCACATTGGTGCAGCACCTCTCTCGTTCCAGGGACCTTCCTGAGCTCCCCACCAGTGATCAGACAGAGGGAAAAGAGAATCAGTGTTGGCATCCATTAAACCTGACTCTGGAGGTATTCTGTCCATATTTACAGGAACCTGAAGAAGGAATGTATCTTATCCCTCCCCTCAGCAAACACAGACCTCCCAAGGGAAATCATGGGCCAGTTGCACTCCAGTTTGTTTTGAGGACAAAGCCATCCATCCTTCTGGAGAGATCCACCTGGGGAACTGGCTGGCTCTCATGATATGAGCAAGTGTGCCCCTAGAGTACCTGTGGCACACACCCGTCCAAGCAGATTCCATGGTGATGACACACATCATTCCCAGTGACATCACCCCAGTGCCCCAGGCTCCCTGGTGCAATAATCCAAATGGTGACATTACATCACTGTCACTGGAATAGATCCATTCAGTGCCCAGCAACTGAAAACCTCCAAAGCAACTGATTTGCCAAATATTTGTTTAAATACTACTAAACCGCCACATCACTCAGAGCAAGAGAGTGCCTTCAGCTCAGAGGTGTAGGAAAGCAAACAATGGTGAGCTGCCCTGTGAGGAACCAAAACCTTTCCTGCCTTTTTAATTGATTGTGTTTAACTGAGAGTCCTTGAGACAACTGCAAAAATAGAGGAAATTGTGTGAAGGAGCAAGCTGCACCACTTCTAATGAGTGTACAAGCAAAGGCAAGCAACAATGGGAATTTTTTTTTTTGGGGTATCTAAGGACAGTAGAAATTCAGATCAGATTATTAAAACTTCACTGTGAAGAAACCTCCACGATGATTCTTAGCAAAAGGATTTCTGGGCCAGTCTTAGATGATTAATTGCTTGTGACACCTCCAGAAACTTGAGATGCTCCATGCAGCACAAGAGGAAATTCAGATTCCCTGCAGCACCACAGGCATATATCCTGGCAGTACCATGGCTCAGGGAGCTCATTTTATTTGTGTTGCCCCTGGGGTGCTGGCAAGGATGGCAGGCAAGGGGTTAAGTAGTGGCACTGTGGTTTCTGGAAAGGAAAGACATGCCTCATTAACCAGCTGGAATTCATCGAGGGTATGAACACCAGGGTGGACATGGGAAAGGCAGCAAACACCATATTACTGAGATTTTCAGGGTACATTGAACACAGGTCGACAAAGGAAGTCAGTGCCGATGGCCGGATGGTGGCAGGAGGGGAAAACAGCCCCGAGAAGGCAGGAGCCATGGGAAGAGAGCAGGAGAGCAGGGTGGGGGTCTGGCTGGAGCAACCTTCACTCTGCCACCTCTCCAAGCACAGCCATGGCTTCTGTAACCAGCCCCATCTGCCCCACCAGGCAGGAGGATGATGAACGTGCAGTCGAGGCTCTGAAAGCCTGACTCATCTCTTCCATGTGCTCATCTGCTCCCAGGAGTGCAACCCTCAGATTTCCAACCCGTCACACTCATTCACTAAGCAAACATGGTACAACTGCATGGCTCTCTTGTTACTAATCCAAGTATCCTGCAGTTGCAAGAGGTGTGGAAGTGTCCAGCACAGGCACTTCACTGTTCACTGCCTCAAGCCTTGGCTCCAGCAGATGGCACGTGGCAAATGCACCCCTTTAAATATAATGTCATGTTCATCCCTCTATGATCAGCTTCAAGTCCAGGATTGCTCTGTTATCCTGTTATAAAATTCTAAAGTTAAACTGAGGCACAAAAACCAGATCCACATTGAAAATGAATTCAGCATCTCTTCACCCAAAATGTAAATTAGGAATTTCATTCAGAAAACAGGAAAAAAATTATTTCAACTCCTTTATCTGTCCTGGGGAATTTGAAGAGTGTTATTCTGGAAATAATATTTCATTTTAATGTAAGAAATTAATTAAGCATGGAAATAGGAGATCAGAGCTATACATAACCTCCTACAAGAGGGATTCACAGTAGGCTTGTAGAAAAGCAATTGTTCCCTGCTCCCTGGCTCTGTATTTTAATATTCACATGACACATTGGGCACAACACAGAAGGTAGAAACCAGGGAAGTCCAAACCTCTGTATGCTTAAGATATTCTTTTTCAGGGTAAGAAATACAGATTTTACCCCACCTCCAGTGAATCCAGTCCTTCCATACTCCAGGTGACTGGTTTTGCTCCATTGCTAGAGATAAAGACAAACCATCAAACTCTTGCCCCATGAATTTTGACTGTGTTTTGTCCCTCAGACAAACTATTGAGCACTTCTGAGACAAATCAAGAAATATCTACCTTAATTAAAGATATTACGACTTAAAGTTTTTTTCCACAGCTCAAAGGATTGCAGTTTTTCTTTTTCTTTAGTCAAAGTTTTCTTAGAAATGCAAGTCCCTGAGACGAAATTGGAGCTAGAAAGTACATGAAGGTATTGCTCATGGAGTAAAAACAGTGAGACTACTTGTATTACATTTTTTTACCTAGGGCAAGGCTGTGATGGGCTTGTCTGCTCAACCCTGCTCCTTTTTATATCAAACTTCATCTGGAAGATTTACAGCAGCACTAGCAATGCTAAGGGAGGACTGTTCATCCATTTGCAACTCGAGTTTGGCTGTGATTTACATTTGAAGCAGATATTTTAATCCCACAGTTGCATATCAGGTATACTTAGATTTACCATAGTTGTTCTTTCCTCTGGTCAAACAAAAAGTCATTTGGGAAAATCATACACATAAATGCATTCATTTATAACATTTTTAAAACCAGTTTTGAAAGCTATGTTCCCAGGACAGAGCATTCTAAATCTGAAAAAATGCTGTCCTTGAATCACCAGGGTGGAGGAACTGTATCACTGTAGGGGAAAACACATGGCCAACAGAACTGACCCCACTGACCTCACCCTGTCTTTGCTCCTCAACACCCTCAGCAGAGTGTGTTCAACATTCCAGCTAAAGCACCTGGCAATGCATCAGGGCTTGGGACCTGCCTCCTGCTTTATTTCTACATATTAGATGCGAAAATTACATTCCATTCCAACACTGAGCCTTTCCATTCAAATCTTCACAGGACCAGACCCAGAATCACTCCGCAGTGCTCAGATTGCCTTCCCCGGTGAAGCCACCCCTCACCAGGCAGCCTGACCTCAGACAGTGGCAGTGCCACCAGCTGCAGGTACTCAGCTTTGCTCTCAGCCTGCAAGAGCCATGAGGAGTTTTGTGGGCACTCCCAACCAGCTTTCCTCATCAAGGGAAAAGCCCCAGTGATCCCAAAGAGTGCCAAGAAGCCCCCATGTGGCAGGGGTCTGTCCCACCATGCAGCTATTTGGCACAGCACAGCATCCCTTATAACAGCCTCAGTCATCTTGTGGGCAGGTCCACCCATTTCCATCTCTCCTTAAAGCCTGGGAAAAGCTCTGGGTAGTCAGAGTTTTTGATCTTTATTTTCCTTGCAAAGCCTGAAGATTCTGGAACTAATATTTCCCTGCCTAAATGACAGAGGAGCAGACCCCAAAGCCATGCAGGCTACAGCAGTGCCCTGAAGATGTGAGAAACACCAAGATCTTCAGATGAGGTGATGTGAACTGTGGCTTGGGGTGTGAAGAGGATGGAGATATCCCAGTGACAACTCCAGGGTACTACTGAAGAAGCACTAAAACATTGCATCTTTTCTTCCACACTTCTTTTTGTTTGTTTGTTTGTTTAGTTCATTCAGCATTTGCTTCTGGCCCAGGTATGATGTGAGCATGGGGCACAGACTCAAAGCATGATAAAATCACGTAATGAAATCATGTTGAGGTGACCCCTTGAGTAACCAACACATTGCTCAGCTCTCCTGCCCATGTGCACTACAGAAGTTGATAGATGGGCTGCAGCCAAAAAGAAAAGGTGCTGCCACTTCCCTGCATGCAGAAAACATCAACATTGATTGCTTGCAGAGGTGTGCGACTCTTCCAAAGATCTCCCTCAAGCAACACCTATGCCAAAAGTGAGGATGCAAATTCAATTGTATTGAAGCAAACCAGAGTTTATTTAGCATTTATTACCCATTTTGTTGTCAGACATGGCTTCTTCTGTGTTGGTTTTCCTCTGGTAAACACAGAATTTTTTTTAATTTTATTTTTTTAATAAAATATATAAAACATTGTGCATTGCTATCCATAGGAAAACTGTAGTTTAACAACAATAACAACAACAAAAAAAGAATAAGGCACATTCCTGTGCAGCATCTTCAAATATATATATATATATTTAAAACAAAAAGAAAACTTTTTTTCAACCTCTTTGAGGTTGTTAACTTCTCACTAGTGACTGACACATCTCTTATATTACCAGAATTTCACTGTTGGAGATGGGTTGGGTTGTGTTTGACCAGGGCCAGTAGGGAGAGCAGACTCAAAAAAATAATAGGATTTTATCCCTGAGGTGTCAGTAAAAAAACTAAATGTTCCCATTGAAAAGGAAGATGAAAAGACAGCCATAAATAACTGAACACACTATGGCAAACATCCAAGCACCGAGATGATTTCACGATGGAAGAATCCCCCTCCCTCCCATCCCCCAGTTCTTAACAAGTCCTATTTGCTGTTGGGTTTTAATTAGGTTAATCTCGTGGCTTCTGAAGTCACAAGACAATCGGTCAGGATGCACCTCCCCCAAATCATCTTTCCAGAGTTGTCATTTTGTTCACAATTCTCCCACAGTCCTCGGGAGAGGGAAACCAAAAAATCCTAAATGGAGATGTCCAGCCAAGAAAGGAGCATTTGCACCATGGTGTGCCCAGCGCCACATCCCACATGGGGGAGCTGCCATTGCCTCCTCCCTGCCTGCTACTTGGAAATGGAGTTGGCAATCACTTCGTTGAAACCAGAAAGTGTCTGGGAAGAGGGTTGATGCCAATATGTCAGGGAGAGAGAGATGGGGAATCATCACGGCTGTCCATCCGCACCGCTCCAGGTGGCACACCTGATGGAAAGGGGAGACGCCCGTGTTGTGCTGTCCCCTCACTCTCCTCTCCGAGGTGTGGGCAGCCCTGGGGAGCAGGGCAGGAGCGCTGGAGCCCTCATGGCTCAGTAGTAGCGGTTGAGGCTCCTGGTGCCGGGAATGTCGGGCTGGCCGTTCATCCAGATCTCGCGGATGATGCGCTCCCGCTCCTCCAGCCGCTGCGCCCGCTCCAGCTCCTCGGCCGAGGTGAACACGTTCATGTTCAAAGTCCTCTCGAACCTGCGGTGCCTGCGGGCAGACAGGTCCGACGTGGTGTCCGAGTCGTCGTCGCTGTCGCTGCTGTCGCTGTCGCTCTCCCGCTCCCGGGGAGGTTTTTTGGAGGAGGAGCGCTTGCAGTCCGTCCGGCAGGACACCCTGAGCACCAGGGCCAGCAGCGTCAGCACCAGTCCAATGCACACTCCGGACACGAAATACAGCGCAGCCCGCTCGGGGTTTTCTGCAGGGAGAAAGGAAATGATGGAGGAAAAGAACCCCTCAAAAACAGAACACACACAGCCCCTCCGTGCACGCACCACCACAGTTTCTGGAGGGGCTGAGTTTCCAGTCTTACTTCCATGCCCTCCTGCCTCCTCCCCGCAGGGCAATCAGGAATTTAAACCATGGATTTGCTGCCAGGGCATTTGTCCACATGCAGAATGAGTGTTTGCTACAGTTGTGTTTTGGAAGGGAAGGGAGCAGCCCACAGAATTAAATCTGATTCCCACGGGGCTGCTGCGCTGCCTGCATCTTGCTGTCGCATCCACTGCCTTCACACCAGGCATAAGGATGATTACAAAACTTTACGTGCCCTGTGCTCTGGCCCAGCTGAAATGGGAGGCTTGGCAGCATGGCAAAAATGCACATTATTTATTCATAGACTTCATTTGCTTATCTAAGGCAAGAGTGCTGGCTCCCTGCCCAGACCACCAAAATATCTACCTGTACTCCACAGGCAGAGCTGGAGTCAGTGCACCAACAGGATGAGTCCTGCACAGCCACATTTCTGAGGTGATATAGCAAGACTCTAAGGGATCCACAATGCCTTTCAAACTAGGTCATCTTGTTTATGTACCACCTCCTTTTTTTTTTCCTTTTTTTTTTTGGTTCATGGGACTACTTAGACATGTAATTATGATAAATGTTGTTACTGCCATTCCCCTGGGCTGAATCATCCTGGTTTATTGGTGCACTAAATGGGTAAAGGTGAACTGAGCAGAAGTGTCAAGGCCAGCTCTACTCTGCAGGGTCTGCTGGGTGTCTTGAGCTCAAGAATGGAGTCAGTTCCTCAGATGAGTTTTATTCCCTTGAACCCAGAGATGGATCCACAACACTTCTGCCAGATGAGACCCTGACATTTGGCCCCAAAAGATCTCTGTAGCTAACAGGCTTCACTTCCCTGCACAGTGCTTTTAGAAGTGCCCTTTCCAGCCAATCTCCTAAAGCACAGTTTGTCAAAGGTGAACTGGAAACTATTTGGAGATGCTCAAAACTCAACAGGGCAAGACCCTGCTCTAATTTCAAAGCTGGCTCTAAATTAGGAGTTAGCAATGTTCTGATCAGGAGATTGGACCTGGTGACCTGCAGAGGCCTCTTCCAACCGAAATTATTCTTTGACTCCGTGGTCAGAGCCCAAACACTGGCTTGTGCTGTTCTAAGCAGCATGTAGTTCAGTGCCTGGAGGTGCTCAGGGAGGAGCTACAGAGATGAAAGCCTTTGTGCTTTTCACTTCTCTCCCAAATGAGTCTCAAAGGTGACTGATGAGCCAAGGTGGAAGAAGATGTCAAGGTAGTCTGAAAATGGGCTAATAAATCATTAGACTGATCCAAGAGTGGTTGGTGTGGATGACATGGGGAAAAATCAGGCTGAAGATAGGACAAATAAAGATGAGGAAAGTGCAGCAGATAAGTCCAAAAAAAGAAAGAGGTGGACTGGCCTCCTGCAAACTCAGCTGTAATGCAAAGAACAAGCAGGAGACTGAACTGAATGTGCCAGTGGGCCCATGACAGGGAGGTAGAACTGATGGTCTTTATATGGTATGTAAGATATCTTCCAACCAAACATCTCTATGAAATGCTGCAGTATTGGAAGGTCAAGTGGGAGCAAAGCCACAGGCTTTAAACTAGGATATTTTGACAAAAGCGAGACAGCCCAATTCCAAAGGTAAAAGAGAAGATACCAGAGCAGGCAAGGAGAATGTGCCAATGGCCCCTGCAGCAGCCTGGCTGAGTGAAATCCTGCCTCCACTGGAGGCAATGGCTACTCTGAATGCAAGGGTTAGGACTCAAAACTGCAGCCTCCTTTGTGCAGTAGGAGGAAAAAGCAAAAGCTGCAGCTGGCCATCCAGTCCTATGTGAACAGTAAAGAAAAAAAAATAAAGGAAAAGCAGAGTCTCTACCTGATAACACTTTTACATCCATGTGCAATTTAACTGAGGTCAGCAATCACCCAGCTCATTTTGCAGGTAGCCCTAAGGGCTCTGGGTACACCTGGATCATGGGAGTGTGAGCAAAGGAGCAGAACTGGGGTGTTTGTACTGGAAGGCACTGGGTGCAGCCTGCCTTGGCTCTGCCTGGCTGAGAGGATGCCACAAACACTTCCCTGAGCACCACATCCTGCACACACATGGGTTTGATTTGGTTGCATTAGTTCCACTGCCTGCTCCTTTAGAGCAACTCATAAAAAAGCATAGATTGGAGCCTGAGACACAGACACATGTGGATTCTCTGCCCCCACTTTTGCCCTTGTCTTGCCTTTCCTTTCTCCTCCACACTCCTTTTCCCATGCTACTGTATCCAGTTCATGAGCAATTTTACCTCCATTGCTACTTAAGCAACCATTTTTCTTCCCCTGCTTGTGCTCGTCTGTGCAGCCCTTCATGCAGTGCAAGAGCTGTAATTGAATTTTTGGGCTCCAGTGGCATTTATGAGCTCCTACAGCTACTCTGTCAACATCTGAGACACTGTCTGGACTTCCTCACGGAGATGTAACCCTGTGTTCAGCTGCAGCCTTGACATTTATCGTACATACAATCCACTTGCACAGCAGCATCTCTTTTTTTTTTTTTTTTCCCACAGCAGAAAGAGCTACCTAAGCTAAAAACCACAGCCTCTGCTTTTTCTCACTTAAAGTAGCCAAATCAGCAATAGCCTAGATTTGGGGGTTTGATGGCTGATTAGTGATTTTGAGAGCCTAACCCACTGCATGTTCTACTTGCAAAGACCAAAACCAGGCACCTTCTTCAGCAAATGGATGCTCAGCACCTTCCAAAAGCTCGAAGGTGGCCCAGATTCATCACACCAACAGTGAAGTTCCTCAAAACACTCACTATACTTGGAAAAAAGTTCTTTAAAAGTGTATGGACATGAGTACCAGGAGTTAGCACAATTTTGATATGCATTCTTGTGTGTGTATGTGTATATACACTCATTAAAACATGGATTTTGACCACTGAAGCTTTTTATTCCAATGTTGTAGATGACAGCTCCAAGCTTCCAGCAGAACCCAGTTTCTGCCAGTCTCTTTGGCTGGGGCTACCTTTCTCCTTCCATGTTTTTCTCTCTCTGGATTGGAAGCATTGATAAAAATGTCACTGATTCAAGCCTAAAATTAGTCCAGGCAGACAAAAAATATATGCTCTACATAACCCTCCACACAAAAGCCACCATTTTCTAGGCACTCAAACTGGACAAAAAAATTAAAAACACATTTTATTTTATTTTTCCAACCAAACCAGCAGTAATTACAGAGCTTGTTTCCTGAGGGTTAACAATCTGCTGGGAGCATCAGCCCAGACTGCCATTAATTCCCCAGGAAATGCCCCAGGCCAAGGCTGTTATTGCTATTATAATAAATTGTTTCAATAAATAAAAAACAATCTAGGCACTAACGCTGCTGGCTTCCTGTAATGGCTTCATGCATTCTGAAACCTCAGTGGGGAGGAAAATTTCAGAGGGCCCCCAGTAAAAGGTTCAGCATTAAGCATGGCCAGACAAACAGTAGGAGCAATATCTTCCAGGGAATTTGCAGTCAGCCCCACAGGCTGCCGAAATCCCCTGATAGAACAGAGGAAGCTCTCCAGGAGCCCCTTATTAATAAGGCTCAGGCCAAGCAGTCTAAAATTTGGAATGATCTCCCCTGGGCTGTATTTTGGAAGCCCCTTGTTAATAACTTGGCAGCAAAGCTTTGCTTATGAAAGAAGAATAAAACAGGAATTTGTGGAGGTTTCCCTCCAACTGCTTCATCCTAAATGCAGTGACAAAATTGGGATAAGTCTCCTGTCCAAAAGGAGGCACTGGAAGAGCTCGGATACATTTTGAATGTTTAATATTTTTATAACCACGAGGGACGTTTCTGGTCTTGCTGATAGTCTGTGACTGCAAAGACAGTTCCAGCTGTCACTGAGGAACAGGTCCACAACAAATAACAGTTTGTAGGCAGAAATAGCCTCTAATTAAAAACTTAATTTTATAAAGAAAATCAGCTTTCAAATAAAGGGTGTCTTAGTCTTTTGCAAGACTGAACTCTAAATAATATTTATTTGTTGGATCAGCTACTAATTTCATTCCTTATTGACATTATTCACACTTTTCTCCTGTTCCTGAAGAAATAGGTTCTGGAATCTGGGATGAGACTGACACCTAACTGTACCTCACCATGATAGCTGCAAATCAGGACTCTTTTCCTTCCTACTGTGATTTTTACTGTTCAGTTGCCCATAGGAACATTACCAGCTCTTATGTGGGAACATCAGTCCAAAAGAAGGTGGAAATGAGCACAGAGGCTTTTGCCAATACTGGCACTTCTCTGTGTACTGCAAGACTCTACATGTGTGAGTGACTGAATCTGCAGACTCTTCACCTGCAGCTGCCCACCCAAAACTGCAATTTTGTGCAGAAAATGTGAACACTATTGAGCACAAACAGGATTCCACTATTTGTGGATGCTCTCCCCAGGCTAAAAAACACCCCACTGCCAGCAGAGAGGAAAGACAGTAAAGAGGATCATCCTTTCAAGCCTGCACTTTACCCATGAAATAGCAAAAACCCACAGCTTAATTTCCCTGCAGTGGATCTGAGGGTATCCACCACCCTCTGCCCCAAGAGAAAAAACACTTTTTTATATTGCCCCTGCCTATTTACAAATTTCTTTTGCAAACTCCTATTCTGAGACAACTCATCAGCATGGGGAAGCCCTGAATGCAGCACTTTCAGTCTGCAGAGAGCACCTGAGGGACATTTTCAGTGTCATGGAACAGAGCAGCTCTTGCACTGCTGTTTCTCTTTGGGACCAGAGCTGTGGTCAGAAGCAGTGGGAAGATGTGTGACCCAGAACCAGCCCTCCCTGGCTGCTCAATACCTTGACTTTCCTGAGCCACTATAATGGATCCTCTATGGACATCAGCTGTGGCTTGAGCTGCCTTCAGGGCCCCAAACTCAGGCAGGCACAAAAAAAATTTGAAATAATTAAAAAATTAAAAAAGAAATCCAACTGCTCTGCTGTTCAAAATATGCACTATGAAGAGGGATGGCTTTGCAGTGCTCTAGTTTTATGTAAATTATATTTGCGCTCTGTGACACAGTTTGTCTTTGAAGTCATAAGACAAAACATCTCCATCCTCACACATAACAAAATAAATCATGACAAATCCATCATTTCCACTAAAAGCAGAGGCTAAATTACATGCAGCAGATAAAGATGGTTTAGGACATCTGCTGTTTCAATCCAGGAGTCCGTCATCAAATATTTTTATAATAAATAACAAGCTGGACATATATGTCACTGAGACTGAAACCCACCTAACAGCCACGGTGAGGAACACGGGAACCAGCTGATCTTTAAGGGCTCTTCCAACCTAAAACCTATGATTGTTCCATGATACATTGGAAAACACAAGCAACCAAGTCCTGAACTCAGCACGTGAAACCAAAGTTTTGAGGTCTGAGTTTACCTCTTTGACATCCAGTGAACGTGAACATAACTCAAGGAAACCACAAGAAGAGAGGGCAGAAAAATCTCACAGCAGCAGGACAGTTAAAGTTTTTTGTGCTGCAGTAAAATCTGGAGGCTCCTGCCAAGGCTGACACCTTGTGACAGGGATGAATCAAGACCTTGTGCCCTAAAACCAACATAGGGTCAGAGAGCTCTGCTGTGGGCAGTGGAAGCAAAGTCCATGGAGCATTGTCAGCAGCCCTGAATCACAGTCCCAAATATCCTGGACCATTAATCCTACACCTTTCTCTTCCCATTACTGTTCAAATGGGGAACACAATATTAACAGCATTTTGTTTTATAGTAGGGATGGGAAGGTAGGTATTCTCATGTTAAAAAAATGGTAGCTGTAGGTAAGGGAGAAGAAGTGGGATAGACAGAAGACTCCTTTTAAGCTTCTTTGTTTAACTTTTCCTTGGAGATACCTGTGCAAGAAAACAAATCTATCCTATTCAGCTATCTTCTGTGAAGAACATTACTAATTCCATTTAATCTGCCTGACTCTGAGGGCTGTCATGAAAAAATGCATCCTGATGACAGCACTGGATGTGTAGAAGAGCAGAAATTTGTATAACCCTTCATGGTCCTTTTAGAAGAATCCTTCACTAAATAATCTGCAGAAACACTCTCACTAATCTACTCAGGGGTTCCAAAATGCAAAGCCCAAGTTAGCTACTTCAAATCCAAATACTTGGATTAGCAGCATGGGGGCATCTCAGCAAGACTAAGAGCATGGCACCAAGAATGCACACTGTTTAATGAATTAGAAAGACTGAATTAGCTGTCAGACATGAAAAAGTAGCTCACAAATACTGGAGTTTTAATTAATATAGCCTTGAACACTTCCAGGAATGGGGCAGCCACAACCTCTCTGGGCCATCTGTGCCAGAGTCTCACCATCCTCACAGTAAAGAATTTCTTCCTAATGTCTAATCTAAACCCACTCTGTTGCAGTTTAAAGGCATTCCCCCTGTTTCTCACTTTTCTTTCACCTTGTGAATTTTTTTTAGAAGACTGCTCCCCCGTTACTTGAAAGATACACGTGGGTGAAAGATAAACTGTGATCCAAGGAAATCTTACTCTAAAGTAGATTTAAATATACAATTAAGTAGACTCTCAAGTCACTTCATCTTCACACTTCTACTGAAGATAAGCCAAATTCTCTTAAGCAGTGTAAAGATTTGAGTGCTGCTTATTTTCCAAATTACAGGACAACAAACTTGCCTCCCTAATGAGCCAGGCTTTGATCTCCAGGAAAATGAAGCATTAGGAATAATACCACATGTAAGATTCCGTTGTGTTTAACTCCAGATGAGAGCAGACCCAGTGGAAAGCAGTGCACAATAAACTCTGTTTTACTTTGCCTGCTAGGGCTGCCCCGGTCAGGCCTTTCAAGGGAGAATTCACTGAGAGAAGAATGAAATACACAAACAGCTCAGAGAGGCAGATTTAGCCCCAGGTGACTGTGAAAGGAGGGTCTACAAAGAGCTTGCAGGAGCCCAGGGAGGTGTGAGCCAGCAGACACAAGTACCTGTGATGAAGGCATAGGCTGCCAGGATGTTGCTGAGCAGGGCCATCTCCGTGCCGACGCCCACGGGCTCCATGCTGCTGCTGCTGCTGCTGCTGAGCCCAGGCGCTTCTGTCTCATCCACAGGGAGCAGGAGGGGGGTGTTGTCTACAGGGTAGAAAGTGGCTGACCTCCCCTTCTTCTTCTCTGCTTTGACACAGAAAGAGAGTGAGGAGTGAGGAAAGTAGAACGTGACCCAGCCCTACCCTGCCTTATCCCCATCTGTGTTCAGAAATCTGGAGCTGCTCGACAGGGAGCCACCCAAATTTGTCCCTTTTTGGGGGGTAACTAAAGCTTCTCAAGCAGCTCCAGCTGAGCACATACCCCATCTGCATCCAGGCATCATCATCTCTCCCCCATCTCCTGCTCTTTCATGTCACCACTTAGACACACCCACCTATGCTACAGCAAATATATAATCAGGTTTCTTTTCTCTTATGTAAATCAAAGGAGCCTTTATCAACAGTGGGTTCAGCTAAGCTTGTAAGGAGGACTGGAAAACACTGGCAGAGCCCACAACCCTCTGCTGGTGTGGTGCTGTAGTGATCCATCCACAGCTGGCAAACAGACGTGCTTTCTCTCCAACCTTTGTGGGGAAGGGCAGACCTGAGTTTATGACTTCCTTCAGAAGCCTGCTCATATTGTGTTTCACCCAGACACCATTTCCCCTCTGGAGAGGTGAGTGAACATGGGTTAATGATTTGATTTTATTTGTTGAAGACTAGAGCTAAGGAGGCAGTTCATTCCAGGAGGCTCAAAGAGACCCTTTCAGACCTTATCAGCTCGCTGTTGAGGGCTCCCCACACCTTGATCTGCAGGCAGACACCCCCACTACTCACAGAACAGTAATTGTTTTCAACACAGGAAAAAGCCAGTGCACAGGATCCAGCTCCATCATCCATGTGAGTTTTTAACTGTAGCTATTATAGATTTCCAGGCTCCCTTCTCTGGGTGTCTAGTTCTGGCCAAAAGAAAGCACCACTCTGTAAAATCACAGACTTGCACTTGGCTTCTGCTTATCTGCAGGCATTAAATTCAGGACACTGCCAGCTCCATCTCCAATGATGCCACCAGTGCCGTGCAAGCAAAGGCATTCTGTCAGGAGTGGTGATGTGAGATCTGGGTCTCTGTTCCTTGGCTGCCTGATCCATCTCCTTTTCCTGCAAACCCAGCAGCACAAGACATCACATTAAGCTTCCTGCTGTGGGTGCCAGGAAGCAGCTCAGCCCAAGGAAGCAGTAACAAAAAGTGAGGAGTGTCAAAGAGAACAGGTAATACTGGATGGAGAGGGACTGAGGGCAGGAATGTGTGTGCAGTGATGCCAACTCCTAATCTGCCTCCAGGAGAACCAGCGGGGATGGATGTCCAGGTGTCACTGTGAGGAATCAGCCCCAAGGAATGTGGGCACAGCTGTACCTCTGCCACTGAATAGCTGCATGGCCTTGGGAAAGCCACGTGTTCAAGGTTACCACGGTGTTAATGACTGGACTTCAAGCAAAGAGTTTAAACATGAGTGCTTGGGTGTCACATCCCAAAGTGTAAAATATCCCAGGAGCCTTAGGAGAATAGAGGTTACTGCAGATCCCTTGTGCAAAAGGGACACAGAAGGTCCAAGGGCACATTTGGCAGGAAATCAATAGCAAGATTTCACCATTTTTTTTAGTTCAGAATTTTTTAAAATTCAGATTAACATGCCCTCTAATATCTCCTTTATCCTCCTTGTCTGGTAAATCTGCCTGTACAAGTGTTCAAATTTTTTTCCCTAATGCTGTTCCAAGGAAATCCACAGATGTGGGGTAAATGTTTAACTTCTAAAAACTGAACCTAAAACTTGGATATTTCAGAGTATCTCAAGTAGCACCATGGATCAAAACTAAGGCAAGAGAATCCTGCTATTAGTTAATGGATAGCAGAGAGTCATCCAGCTCTCCCCACAGCAGACACTTGAAGCTCAATGTATTTGCTCATACACAAACATCTAAGGCACCCCAGGGTCAGGAGGACATCCAGGCAGAGTTGGCAGGCATGAGAAGGGATGCAGGGGAAATACCCACCCTTCTAGAAGCCAGATGAACACCCCAGCTCATCACAAATGACACATTTATATGGGGGTAGCTCAATCCTGCCTGAGATGTCTCCTGACTGAGGTCTGGCTCTGAACTAGTTAATGTAAGAACCCTTCACAATCGAGGAAAATGAAGGGCACCACCAGGAAATAATCTCATACATATTTCCTAGGTCTGGCTCTGAACTAGTTAATGTAAGAACCCTTCACAATTGAGGAAAATGAAGGGCACCACCATACATATTTCCAATGTCAGAGGGACACCATCTCTGTTGGATGTGGAGCAGCCCTTGTAAACCATGTGCCACAAGAGTGTCTTCAGGAGGCAGAGTAAGGGATAACTCCTCTTGAGATGTGAGATGTAAGAAGAATCCTGTTTTGGTTGTTTTGGTTTTTTTTTCTCCTTTCACTTCTAACTTGTCAAATGAACAGATGCAATCAAACATGTTTTTTTAATTAATACTGGCCTGCATACACTAAACCCCAGCAAAGAGCACCACAAAACCACAGAACTGGTTTTATCATTGGCAGGATTGTACAAGCACAGACATGGAAGACAGAAAATGACTGGACTTATGCAGGAAGGAAAAAACAAACACACACCATTTCACAAGGGCCATGTGTTGCTACACTGTGTGGTTCTCTGGTCTGCCATTCCCTTCAGGATCACACTAAAGATATTCCCTTTCTTCCTTGAAGACTTTTCAATGCCTAATCAGCTCACTACTACTGGTTTTCTCATCACCACCCTTCCTTAGCTGTTGCCAGTCACTTGAACAGTTTCTTTGTGAGTTTACACCAAAGCTGAGCAAAATTCTTTCAGCCAGCAGTAAATTTGCCCAACACCCCAGTATAAAGACAGGAGAGGTTATTCATGACACCAGGCTGACATTAGCAGTTTTAACAAAAGAAATAAAACAGGAAGGGAGATTACAGAAATTTCCAAGTATTTTGGGTTTTTTTGAAACATTCTTCTAGGTTTTAATTTCAAAATGACATCTTTGTTTGAAAAGTGGTGCATATTTTGAAAGTGAATGAATAAAGTATGTGAAAACTATACAAAAGGTGTCATTCATAGAAGTAAAATGTTTAGATGAGTGGAAATGAGTTCAGGATATTTTTCTTGCTTAAAAGAATCTCCAAGATCACAATATTTATTTGGAGCTAACTTAAAACTCTTTTCCTTGACAGTTTTTCAGTAAAGCCTCCAAACTGACAAACCTGCTATTGCAAGTTCTTGTTTATTTGTGAATTGACTATCCAAGCTGTGGATTAACTTCGCCAGGAGTGTAGACAGAGACAAGCTCTGCTCATACCCACCCTCAAGCTGAATCTCTGGCAGCACAGACTGGGATTTCCAGTAGTGTCATAAACTATCTCCTGCATATTGGGAAACAACACAAAACCACTGAGGAACCCAGCACGTGCTCACCTGTGCTCTTCCTTTATTCATACACCACCCCTTCCTCCTACTCAGCTATCCCTAGAGATTGCTAAGATCTGACTTCATTCATATCTTTCCACTTTGCATTTTATGAAAATAGCATTGTATTTCAAAGCTCAGTTGAAAACTTCTCTGTCCCGTGAGGCAGATCTACTGTCTCTGCCCTTTTTTTTTTTTTCTTTGCCACTAGACAGGTCTGGAAAGTATTTCTCTGATGAGTTTGGACATGCATGGCCGTGACTGCTATCCCGAGAAACCCAGTGTTCCTTGAACAGTTTCACAGTTTCAATTTAGCCAGCCGTTGGTCACATCTTGAAGCTGTCACAGCCCTTTCTGACTGTGACGTGGATGGGATTTAGGAGAAATACAGAAATCCAGACTAGAGGAGATGGAAAGGGACATTTACAACACTGTGAAGTTTGGGCCAACACCGCAATGGTCACAGGTACCTGGGAGAGCTCGCTCTATGTTGGAAGGAGAGACATCCGAAAGGAACACACCGTCCCCTATAACATTGGGGTCAAACACTCTTGGCTGCAGTGGGAAATGTGGCTTCTGATACCCTTGTTGATTGGTGGGTCCTGCCTGAGTTTCATGCAGAAGCTTCTTGGGAACTGAAAGAGAGGAGCAAGAAGAGCACAGTTGTTAGAGTGAGTTACTTCAGCTGGTCAGAATGAGAATTGTCATGTCATGCTACGGGCTCAGCTGATAGTTATTTATACCACGTGCAGCCCAAACAGACACTCATTTTCCACTATGATGAATGCTCTCCAAATGCCAGCACAGAGACATTCAATGAGAGAATGCTGGAAACCATAAAGTGATTAAGATACTGTTTATTTACAATTAAGCCTTGAGACTAGGCTAAGGATCAGATTCAGATGTTCTATTTAGACACCCATCTCAGAAACTGAAATAGAGGTTAGTAAGCCAAGCTTTGGCCCCAGCTCTAAGCTTCAGAGCACTCCAGCTACAGATTTCTGGTTCTACCATGACAGCAGGCTGGACAGGATGCCCTATAGCAATGGAAGGTATAGCTATGGCTGAAATCCTGTCTCTCTCAACCATCAAGCTGCTGGCTCAAGACTGAACACCAGATTCACAAAACCGTACTCCAGAGGATGCTGTTCATGTGAAATCATAAAGCTTAAATAATCCACCACAAATATAATTTCCTGCTGTAAGAAACCCTCCCCACCCTGTGAGATCCAAAATACACTGTTTCCCATTGAGTTGTAGGCTGTAAGATGGGAAAGGCCCATTCTCCATTCCCGCCATCCCGAGGAACACGAAGACTCAGCTAACCCCTACTGCTCTCTGTTTTGTCAGCCACAGCATGAGCAATACGCAGGTGAAATGATGGGTTAATACTTGACAGATATTTTGGACATCTCTGGTCTCTTCTTTGGACCAAAGCATGCCCTAATAACAGGAGTGTTTTCTCCTCCTTATAAGGCCAGTTCTTCAGCTGTACATCCAGGTAAAGAAATCAAAGCTGGTGTAGCTACCTCAGTGCGCACCCACTGAAGGTGAATCCACACAGTGAATTCACTAATTTCCCCTGTAGGGACAAAGAATGGAGTCATGTATGGAGCTGAACCACTTCTCTTCCTCAGCCAACACCTGAGGCTATTTCAGAGCAAAGTGCTTCTCCTTACAAAGAGAAGAAATATGTATACAGGTCACTCTCTTCAGAGAGTAGAGGAATTGAGTGATGAAAGACAAAAATAAATTAAAATTTCCACAGGAGAAAGATTTATTTTTCCTGTCAGTGACTATACATTAATGCCTAGTAGACCAGCAAGACTTCAGTGTGCTTAAGACACAGACTGTTGAGCACTAGGCACAAGTTCAGTAGACCAACATGAAGTTCAAGAGATTTCTGGGATGCCTATGTCCCCTTTCTCCAAGTCTAACATCACCTTCCTCTCTCATTCCAAGCAGGCTGCCCCCTCCCAGTGCCTCAGTTTCCCCAGGGCTTTGCTTGGGATCATGCTATCTCTCATCTCCACCCTCACAGGGGCGTGAAGAAGCACAATTAAAAATGCAAAGCACTTTAAGATGCTTGGCAGAAGCTTGAAGGAGAACTTGGAAAGAGGGCAACTCTGGATCAGAAAGGAAATTCCTGCCTGCCCCCTGCAGCTAATCAGCTGCCAGACTGGAACAGGAGATTTAATCACATCCATTAAATTTGCCTGCATCACCCACCACATTACTGGTGGGTGAAGTGATCCAACCGCTTTATTTACATTATGTTTCACTTGCTGTCTTTGCTGAGGCAAAGAAAATTGCAACTAGATTTACAGACTGACCTCCTGTATTAGGCTGCCAGGACATCAGCACTGAAGTTCTTGCATTATTAGAAGAGTCATGCTAGGTCAGGAAACAGACAGAAAACCCCTCAGCTCCTGAATATCAAAGAGCTGGCACTGAGGTTTCTAGTGAAACCTGAATTGGCAACAGTTGGAAGGCAGCAAAAAAACACATTCCCTGGTAGGAACCAGACAGGAATGAGGGGGATACCTGTGCCAGAGAAATATCAGAAAGTCTGGAGAGGGAGTGGGTAGAACAGAGATTATCCTGCAAACCACAGCCAGGGAGAACTGCAGCTCTGGGTGCCAAATTTGAGGCATCCAAAAGGACGAAGAGTGCATAGGGCTCAGCACCCTCCAAAAATAAAGAGTCCTATTGCTGTGTCAGAGACTGAGGACCTGATAAGCATTTAAAAGACACAGGACATTTTCCTTTATACACTTTTCACCCAAACTGCATACCAGTAATCTGTTGATAGGCATCCAGTGAAGAAAATGAAGCAAAAGACTTTCATGTTTCAGACTTATTCTTCATAAACATGCTTAACACCTGTGACTAGCACACGCTTTGGTACTTTCAAAAATTCCAAGAGGTGCTTTTCTTTGCGTCAGCAACTAGATCCCTTTAAAACTCTGGAAGCAACTTAGAGCAGCACAGGATGTCTACAGCACACAAACGTGGACTTTTCCATTTCAAGGGATAATTTTTCTCTGTGGACTCCATAAACATCTCGAGTACATTTTGCCAGGAAAGGCCCATCTTTGCAAAGAGTACACAGAGAGATGGCACGCAGCAAGAGCACTGCTCTTTTTCTAGTTTATATGATGCTCAGCCGATACACAGCTTTCTTTTGATTTAGAAAGACTGTGAAATGGAAAGCATTTCTCAAGTGTAAAATACCTCACAATTTCCAGTTAGCTCCTGTGTGGCAGCCAACTCCACAAGAAAGATTAAACATCTGGTTCCTTTGAAATGCCCTCCTAAAATTCTCCAGAGAGGAGTGCATCTGACACAAAGCATGGCATGAGTTGAAGCAAAGTGTCAAGGAAAGTTATTTATTATTAAAACCACAAGAAAAGAAGTACCAAGGATTTTAGTCTTATCTCAGTATTAAGCGCAGAAATCCTGGCAGCGAAGGGTTGGCACTTGTTCTGCTCCATGCAATCGAGAGGAGAAATTAAAGCAACTCAGTCAGCAGAATGAGTGATGGATCAAGAGGGGAAGAAAGCTTCAACCAAAGTGTTCACACACCTCATAGTTAGGAACCCTGCACTTAAAAATGCACATGAGAAATGAGCTTGGATCATCCAGAAGAGAGGAGATGAGTTGCTCTGGGGGCCTCTAGGGACTTTCAATCT